CTTGTAAAACAGATTAGCTGCCAGATTCCTCTTTGTTTTGAGGACATGGCAAAAAAACCCGAGTGCTTGCCACAGATCATGTCGGTGGAGCATCACTGGCGGGCTCTCAGATGGAAACAAAATGAGAGACACAAGACAAAAATTTCTGGTTTCAGAACTTCAATGTGATTTAGCAGAGTGCAGCAAGAATCAAATAAGAGTGAAATAAAATTTCAAGAATCCTGGGGCTTTTTTTGCTTCTGATCAAAACTGGCCTCATGTTCTGGACGCAATGTGAAGAATGTTGAAAATGAAGAAATAAGCAGAAAGCACTAAGATACCTATTCCCACCTACTCCTCCATTATTAACAACAGCATTTTTTCACCACCCTCCTTAGCCAGCCAGGCATCTGTAATATCAAAGAGAACACCTCTGGCATGGCAGTATTCAGACAGCACATATTTTAACAGGATTCAAAGACTCTGGATTCTGCAGCCATGTGGGATTTGGAGCTTCCTGTCAGCAGAAATAGATCTCTCTGTACTCAGAGTGCAAAAACTGATCACTTGAGCTAAAGCAGCACTAGCTTTTCGGGGCATACAGCATGCAGTGGGACAGCTCTGTTCCCACACAATAGCTGGTGGCACAGATACATGTGAACTGAACAATTCAATTCAATATCACATTTCTGGCTGAGATTTTTTTCTTCATATTTTGGGTTTCCCACAGCTGATTATTTTGAATCCAACTTCACTGCCTGATCTGTTTACTGGTTAGGATGTTTATTTTTCCTGGAGAAAAGAAAACCAATAAATGTTTTATGAAAGCAACATAAGAACAAAGTATGGAAAATCAAAGGAAAATCCTAACATGAACTCTTCTTGCCCTAGGGCAGATACCATGGCTGCTGTATCCTAGTGTTCCACTCGTGGGGAAGTTTTGTTTTTGTGAAATGTTACACATGTGCCAAGTTGCTGCAGATATCTGTACAATCCTTTCTTTGTCTTGTAGGAGTTCAAGTTATCAGTGTGGTCAATGCAGAGCACAGCATGGGCCCAAGCCTGCAGGCACATAGGTTGGGAGTCAGTTGCCTAATCACAGCCATCTATGTTGTGATGCCTTCAGGTTTTGCCCCTGGTCTGCTGCTGCCTCTCAAAAAAAAGGCACAGCTCTTATGCAGAGCCTGTGTTACATGCCAGCTTTATGCAGAGCTCTTAGATACACAGGACATCGAAAATAGCAGTAGACACCTATGTTTAGGCAACTGAATACTCACTTACACTGTATCCATTAAACCAGCAGGACTGCTTAGGCAACTGCAAGACTAAGCCTTTAGATTTCAGGGAGGAAGACTTCTCAACTTCTCAGCTATCTGTATTCTGCTGGCCTTGTGTGGAGAAATATTCTCAAACATAAATAGTAGTACATAATAAACTCGCAGGGAAGAGCTCCCTAATGCATTCACTTATATGGTCAGAAAGTTCTTAGCAACAAAGCCTGAAAGTCATTTGGCCATCGCCATTGAGCACTGGCAGACCTCAGAGGTCTAGCTTCTTGGGCACAGAGACTTGCAAGACAGCAAACATGCAGTGAGTGGTTATGCATACAGTGGTCTATCAGCTGCCATCCAGAAAGACATGAGCTATGTTTGTCACAGTTCCATGCTTGTAGCTACTGAGTACTTCCATGTCAAGTGACAAAGTGCTAATTAGAACACAGCAGCATGAGCGAAATGAAGTTTCTGCTTGCTCACTGATACACATAACTCTGAGCCTGGCTCTGTCCCTGGCTCCACTGCTTGTTCCATCACAGGCCTGATTAAAAGCCCTAGCGATGCAGGAAGCATCTATTTGGTTTGAATCTAGAAGGCAATATCCATAAAATCCCTTTTCAAATATCCACATGCTACCAAGTAATCAACAAAGCATTTATGTATCCCTTAGGTGCTCCGTTGTCCTGGCACCTTTACCTGTAAAAGTCCCTCCCTCCTATATGCAGAGAGCGGCTGCCTGAAGCTTTTGGGATCCTATTCAACTAAGCAACTGTTCAACACTCAGACATTGTGAGACTTAAGTTTCTGTGGATGCCAGCTACAATAACTCTACTCTGCTTCCATCACCTCATCTGGGGAGGGGTGAGTTAATGATTTTTTACACAAAAAGTGGATAAAACTCTCTCTGTTGGCCACCCTGGCATTGTTCAACTTCCATGTTCCCAAAGGAGCTTAATCTCAGCGAAGAAAAGAAAGGCAGGAGACAACTGCAAGGCTTTTGTACAGTTAAATCATTCCAAATCCTTGTATGCCTAGATTTGAAGAGCTTTTAAATCCAGTAGGACTCACAAAATGCAGTTTGGCCTTTGCACTGTTCAACAATGAACCATAAAACTAACACCCTGGACCAATTCTAGTCTCTGCTCATATGAATTTACCCATGCACCAGTAACTCTAATGTAGCTCCATGAAAGTCAATCAAGTGGTGAAGCTTCCACACTGAAATTACTAAAGAAAAGAACTTCTGTCATGCCAGACTGCAAATGAAGCTTAAGGGAACAATTTCAATCCTGGAAGAAGAAAGTTCCCAGTTATGCAGGGTAGCTCATATCTCAAGAGCCTGTTTTTAATCATAAACTCTACAACCCGGTCACACAGCTCATGCTTTACTACTTGGATAGTAGTTGCCAGCTGGATGGAAACCTGACTTGGTATTTTCCAGTTGATGGAAAAACTTTCTGAAAGATATTTGTTTGAGCAGCACAACAGCTTAGCGTGAGCATTTCTAGAAATGAAACATAGAAATCACTGCTTCCATTAAATGCACTCACTTGCTCTAGACAATGTGAGGGTCATATCAATACCTCGCTGAACCCTCACAAACTGTGGATAAGGGCTGCTTTAGACACAGGCAGAAAATGCAATTGGTAAGAGTAACATTTTTCTGGAATGTCAAAACAGCCCTGCTACCTACTGGCTTTGGCTCTACTAATCACCTCATCAGCTTGTACCAGGCCCCACATCCCCCACCCACCTTATGGGAGATGGAGTCAAAGCGCTCTACAGTGCTGGTGGGCTCCTCTAGCTGTAAGGCATGTGCTGGCATGTCCTGCGACATGGTGCTATTTACTTCCCAGCCTTGATGTGGGAAGACACAGTTTTGTCTGCGTCACTGAGATGCTCTGAGCTAGCTCAGCTTGGCACTTTTTATGGAGTCCCTTTGGCACAGCTGATTGCACAAGCAGGTCCAGATATTCCTGAAATGGGATTTGTTTGGAAAAAAACACCCAACTATTTTCATTCGAATCTTAAAAGAAAATAGAAAGTAAAGATAGATCACTGTCATTCCCCCTCATGGTTTCATTCTTACCAGGGGGTAGCTTGAGCTGCATCCAAAGCACAATGAACTAATTTCAGCCTATGCTTCAGTGCGACCTAACATGCAGTGTATTTAATTGGTACCAACTGAACCAAGGTCTTGGAAACAGGGTTTGGCTTAAGGTTAGAGTGTAGAAGGAAATGATCCCCCTTTTGAACTGCAATATTGTGTCTTGAGTGCTGACTCAGAGAAAGAAAGTGTGACCTGTCAGAGCAGAGGAGACAGAAAACATTGTATGTTTCTCTCCTGTTGTGCAGCTGTAGCTCACGCTGCAATGTATAGAACAGGTGGCTGATTTCTCCATAGCAGTTTTGCAATCCTATCAAAGGGGGTTCCTCTAGGTGAGTGATGAAAAGACAAAGTAATTTGTCTCCCATAATGTCCCAAGACGATCAAGATTTGGACCTATTTTCCCATTCTGAATATTGAACACAGTCCAGTGAACAGGGCATATACTCTGCTAACACTGAATCTCTTAAAAATCTTCTATGATTGGGTGACATGAAGCAGATAAATTATTCATGCAAAGCTGAAAGTTGATTGGATAAGCTTGGATATTGCACTGAAATAAGTACTGCTCCTAGTCTCAATCTCCAGATATTTCCAAGGCTGAAGAACAGCAGAGTTTCTGGTTCATTAGAGAAATGTCTGAATCTAATACTTGATAGTGCTGTGGACAGAACTCTGAGCCAGAATAAATACATTAAATTTGGTGTTTCTTTCATTCTTGGACTATGGCCTTGATCTGTGAAATACTTAGTTGTTCAAAGAATGAAATATTGAGTCACCAGAAGTGAGAGCTGTGACACTGAGGGGGGGTGAAGCCACTGGAAGCTCTCTGTCGCAGGTGAGAAGGTAGGAGAAAAGCAGCTTTATCTTTTTACAGCCCAAGCAAGTAAAGTCTGTCAGAGTCTGCTGGCGCTCTGATCAGGCCTGAGGTGCTTGGGTGTGATGACAGTAAGTATTAGTCATGATCACAATGTTATTTGTCCTGTAGATACAGCTGGGTTTTGTACTTGGATAATGAGCGTCTCAACAGGGAAAGTTTGGGCATTCTTCAGAGACACAGTAGGAAAGAGGGTAAAGATCTCTCCTTGTGTTGTCTGGTTCTGCTGACTCGCAGTCCCAGCAGTCCCAGGATACAGGAATTGTTCCTCAACAACTCTCCCAAGGAGACAGGACAAGAAGGAAAGAAGCAGAGCTCTGGGTTTGAGAGAGCAGACTGCAGCTCCGCAAAAGTCCTTGCAATTCCTTGCTCTCCTGCGCTTTGTGTTGCCCTAGGAGGTGTTCCCTGACAGCACAGTGTTTGCCGACAGCAGTGAAACTCCACACTGACTTCAACAGAGGGTAGAAAGTGTTTCAGTCCTAACCAAAGCACTGCTGGATTTTCTGTTAAAAACACCCCAAAACGGCTGTGAGTTATGCCCAATAAGTTTAATAATTGATGAAACCATAGCAAGTGACAACTACAAAATACAAAGCAGACACAAAAAATGATGGCATAAAAGTGGAAAGGAGTAGTGTCTGCAATGAAAAATGAAAACAAAATACACTTAACAGAGGATATGGGTTCAGATATAACACACAAGGTCACATAAAACACCGCATTAGTAACAGCACACACAGATACTCATTATACCAGGGATTTTCACAGTTCTCCACTTCATCCTAGATGACAAGTAAATTGATGTTTTTACTCTCTTACATAAATTCTTGTGCACACAACATCATCAGCACCAAAGGTCTGGAAAAGAAATAGAAATCAATCAGAAGAGATGGAACCAGCAAACATTTAACACCATTTTTAAATGTTATTTTTACTATAGTGGCTAGTTCTACAGCAGAAATACATTCTCCTCTGTCTTTTGACAGATGAGAGTAAAGAAAGGAGTCATTTTGAAAGAGGAGTGCAATGTAAGTGATCTTTCTTCCAAGGCATGATGAATTTTGTCAGAATGATAAATGACACAGAAATTCTTCTATACTTTCGTGGCATGCATTTATAAACAAACAGGAGAAAACAAAAATAATTTGGAATGTACTGTTGTTATATTTAGAAACAGTTGCAGCATTTTCAACTGGAAGTCCCAAGGGCGGAATTCAGATGGCACGTCCAAAAGGTATGCTTTGATATTTGCAGGTATAAATCAGAATAGTTCAAATGAAGTCAGTGGAGCAATGCGGAAGACCAGGAGAATGTATACCTATAACCTGGAAACATAATGCCGCTGCAAGATGTTGACACACCACGCTAGGATACCAAAACCCTCTCTCTCAAGCTGTAGCATGGCAATGTCAATCACAACCTTCTTTCAGGATACTATGACCTTAACTAGTGAATTTGTTAACTATGATAAGGGTCTGAAATGAGGGCACATAATGGAGAAAAATGTAGCAGAGATCGAACTCATTTCACATGACTAAATATCTATGAGATCTCACAAACGTTTGATCACTACACATCTGAAAGTCACTGACTTACTACAGGCTATGTCCCATTGTCATCCCATTTCTTATACCAGATTCAGTACCTCAGAGTACCTCAATTTTCCAGACACTTAAGAGTTGGTGTTATATGATGTTACACCACTGAGTGAAACAGTTTTAGATATACATCTGAAAGCCTACATTTTTTAAATTGCTCTGTAGTTCTGCACTTAAAAGGCAATTCTACCATAGCAATATTGCAGTACAGGTTATCAAGACATTTAGGCAGGACACTGATTGTGGCAGCTGCCTGAGAAAGCCACCTAAACCCCAAAGTGCTTTTATGTTATTTCAGGTCTGGCAGCTGAAAACTAGGCAAGCAATTGAACCTGAAGGAAACAGGAAGGAAATAATGGGTGCCAGAGTGACTGCAAAAAACTTCACATTCAGCTACACTGACAGACAGTTTCAAGCACAAGTTGTGAGGTGGGATGTTTGGCTGTAACAGCTGCCGAGGTCTCAGTGAAAAATATAATTAAGACCTACCCCAGTGTGTTATGAAAATTCAGCTGGACTTTATTTGTTTTAATGCTTTCTATGCCTGTTTTGGCCAACAGGTATTTGAAAGGACTTGGCTTTAAAACTGACTCTGCTTATTTTTTGTTTACTTTATTGAGGAGAAAAGTCTGTTAGTATTTTGGAGATGTAGGCTTTGGTTTTGTGCTTATATCAATCTTTATATACGTTTTAGCTTATACACGAAAATGTCTGAAAATGAATGTTAAAGGATGCAGATAGTTCTCTATTGCCCACAGCACCAGCTACAAATACCCTTATTATGGCTTCCTTCAACATTCCCAAAATTATACACAAAGGCAAAATTATTTTGGCAGGAGCTTTGCCACAGAAAGCAAGTCAGAGTCAAGACCATCCAGGGCTTGAGGTCGTCTGTGGAGACTAGAAGGTCACTATGACAGTGATTGTCTTTCTATGGTACATTCAGGCACTGCTAAGCACAGTGAAGTTTGGGTCCCCCGCTGCTGTTTCATCATAAATCATAAATAATAGTAAAACAGCCTTTGTTTAGTGTTCTTCAAGAGCTGGGACAGCCCCAGTCTGACAGTTGGAGCTGCACAGCTATGCAGCCACATCTTGTGATGCGAGTGGGTGCTATATCAGCCAGTTCTAATGAGAAAGACTACAGCAGCAATTTGCCAAAACTCTTGTAACCTCCCTAGTAAATTTATGTCTATCCTTTCAGAGAAATTAAGAGGCAAACTGCTTCCCCTAAACCTGTGCAACAGCAGTTACTCTCACAACAGGTCAGCAGTTGTACTGAGAGGGAACACGGCAGGGAAGAGTAGATTGAAATAGATGTGATCCATACTCCACATCTGTCCTAGGTGCCACTGTAGGTCTGAGTATTTGAAATCCTAGTGTCCAGTTCTGAGACCACACTCCTGGGCAGAGCTTGCTCCTAAGACATCAGTGTAGTCCGACTGGCAGCTTCCTTGCAAGACCCACATGAGGATGTGTGAAAATATAAATTTGTGGAGGAAGTAAAAAGAAATAGCTACTTTCTGGGAAAGCTCAGGAGTATGGGTGCATCCAGCATGCATTGCAGAGGCAGCAAGTCCACTGTATGTACACACAGACTGGCTGTTGTGCACTCACAGAGTCACAACTTGACATGCTTGTGACAAAGCACAATGACTGTTCATTTTGTGTATTCAACATCCAGCTCCAGCTGGACTTCTGTACTCTTGAAAATCACAGGCAAAGGACTCTGTTCAAATTGCTCTGTCAGGATAAAAATTAAGTGCAGAAAACATGGACATACCTGGGGAACCCAAATATATAGTAGTCAGGTCCTATACACAAGGAATGTCATTCTTTGCAATGCACCAGTCTCACAGTCTGGAAAACCACTATAATTTAACACAATCGTATCTTTAAATCTAGACTGTAAAGACAGAAAATTCATGCAAAGCCCAATTACAGTTACTGGGCACTTCTCAAACAGCCAGGCATCCTCTCCTTGACAACTCAGCTTAGGTGATAGGGCCTACTGACCTGTTTCAGGAATAACCCGCATTTTTTAGCACTTAGATTTTATAATTTATACCCATCCATATGATGAGCAGCCCAATTCCATACTGAAGCACATGAATAAATGGCTTTGTCATGGTTATGTACATGGTTTAAATGTGGACTTACGTAAAAGGTGTTTCCCTATCTTATTGTAATTTACTAGCATTGTTGATAAAAAGCCACTAAATGTTGCTGAACAAAGCAAAAAGGAACCTGTTCAAACTTGCTGCATTCCTTTTCTTGCGGTTACTCACAGAAATGTCTAATGTACAGCTGGGCCCATGCTCAGGGAAGGTCTAAATCAAAAGGCTGTTACTCCACTATCCTTCACGCTTAAATCCTTGTATTCAGGGGTAGGATGAAGCAGTTTAGTGTTCTAATTCTAGATTGGAAAGAAGTGGTAGTTCCTGTCAGAACAAGCAGACTTTAAAGATTTCCATGACCCAAAGGAGTAAAAAGTCCTAATACAAAAAAAAGAGAACGAGCACTTTTGGCTATTTGGTGGTGAAGTTTCACCACAGCAACTAAAAAAAAAGTGCAACACAACCAAACTGCGATTCAAATGTAAGGAGAAGACGCAGGATTTCCAAACACCACCTTCTCATCGGCTTGCAAAGGTCCCACTTACCTTACAAAATGCTACAAGGCAAAGCTTCCATCTAAATCTAAAATAGGATTTTAAATGTGCAATGACTGCAAATTACAGAATTGCTTTCTTCACTTAGCTTGTCATAATCTGTGGCTGAGTCCAAAAGCACACTGCAAACAAAGCCCTGCGCAGGGGGATAATCCAATAAATTGACCTCTCTCAGTTCACTCAAAATCTGATGACTACTGACATCATTAGAGATTAAAAGAGAATTACAGGGCAGTAATATATTACTCTATGATTAAATCTGCTTTTTGAAGGCCTTCTTTATAAACATTTGCTGAGGAGCCTTTGTGATAAGTGGAGCATGCGGTACACTTAGGAAGACTGTCATTGAAACAATCTCCTTGTTGAAAGATCACTTCTGCCAATGTATGCAAAAATCTCCTGTTACCTGCTCGTGACTGACCAACCTGCAGAAGCAACTTGCAAAAGGAAGACAGAATGCATCAGCAAACAAATGGAAAATATTACTTCAAAGAATCCTCAGAAAAGGCTTTGTCCACATGCAAACTTCCATGTTATCCAGAATAAAGATATAAATCTTCACAATAAAGGCACATTGCAAGTTCCCTTTCTCCTCCTGACTCCCATAATGTTTTACGAAAGTTGCTGATCAATATGGGGCCGTAGTCACAGAAGGTACAGCCTCCACTTTCAAACTTGGATATTAATAGCAAATCACCCAACGTACAACCTCATTTTCTGCAGGATATCAATTGACAGGACCATGCAAAATCAAGTCATTTATCAAGGTATCTAAATGTTGGTATTTGCGTTTGAGAACTGCTGTTGAGAACAGTATTACACAGTTTCCTCAGTCATGCATCATAAGACAATGATATCTCCCAGTAGCAGCTTTGAAAGCTGGTACACAGAAAACATCGAAGCTACAACTGATATTATAAGAGGCTGTATAGAGGATCAGATGCATCCAAGATGCAAATGGCTTTGGCTTCTCTCTCTGTTTATATGTTTGGGCTGTGGCCCAGACCAGGTTGTACTAGTGAGCAAGGGCTGCAGATTCCTAAGACCCCTTGCAAATCTGCTTGTGGCAAATAGTCAAATAAAGCATTACGTCCATGCAACACACACATATGCGTTATTACAAGCTTCTGAACTTTTATCAAGGCTGCTTTAATGAAACCAGCAGCCAACCTCCCCACTGACCTCAGTATGAGAGGCCCTCCTTTTAATAACTGATTTTAAGATTACTCTCCAAAAACTACAGAAAAGTTAAACACTTAGGTAGTTTAACATCGTTCTGTACAAGGCTTAGGCAGATCACAAATCTCAGCATTCAGCTGCAAAGTATCTTTCAGAATCTGCATTTCTCACCTACTATATTTAATTTCAGAAGGCAGCAATATAATTTAAAAAATGTTCACTCACTCATCTAGGCTCCGCAGTTCACCAGTTTTAATCAACTATGGCATGATTTTTCTGGGGAGGGAACGTAGAATAGAAACCATGCTTGAAACCCCCCTAATGTTCTGATCTTTGACCCTTGCTATAATTGATTCTGAGAACCCCTGTGTGATACATGAACTGTGTAAAATGTGGTCTGAGGCTATTTTTAAAGCCCATCTTCAGTAATCATCCACTTTATATTGTTTGTGTGTTACAAATTAAACTAAAATCTATAGAGGCATGAGCAGCTATGAAAGCACCAATGCAGATAAAGTTTGAATATAAATGTTTCTTGTTTGAATAGCTAAGATTTGGAAGCAGCATCCTTTACCTTTGTAAGAGCAGACCTTTTGTTCTTCTGACTTACACAAGTGATTGATAGCTCATTAATGTCCCGGACAAAACCACACAGCAACAGCAAAAACATTATAAAGTATAAAAGATAAGGGAAGAAAAGACATATTAGAATAGACTTAATCCTAGATCTTACTTTTCAGACAAGAGTTTTCTTGACTTCTGGAAATGAATGCTGAGAAGGAGATTCAAGACTTCTTGAAAGATTTCTTTGGGTAGAGAAACAGGAGCAGAGACTGTGAGAATAATATCAGCCTTACAGAGTTCCTGAATTGCTACATCACAGGCACTGCCCCATAGAAAACAGCTTCCCAGCTGCGGACATCTAGAAGTTCACAAGAATGTGGTCTCCTTCTGCTTATTTAAGGCTCTCTGCCAGAATGGAAATAGGGAAAGCTTACCAAAGCATGTCAGAAAGAGTAAAGGAACAGAAAATATTTCTTAGGTAAGTAGGGAGGTTTGAGAACTGTGAACATGGGAGCTGCTAAATGTTTGAAGTGATATAGGCAACAAAACTGAATGAGAATGAATTTCAGGTCCTAAAGAACACTAACAAAGCTGGGAGGATGGAAGAAGAAAGAAAGGAGAAGACAAAGAAAGATCTCTTCTTCTCACTGTGATCTTAGTTTTGAAGAAGTAAGATGTAAGTGGTGGGGTTGCAGACTCAGATCCAAGGAAAATTTCCAAGCATAGAATAAAAGAATCTAAGTTGAATCTTTCTTGACTGGAGTGATGAAAAACCCAAACACAGTTGAGAGGCAAGAGATCAAAAGGCACCACAAGGTCTTCTCACAAAGAGTTCCTGTTCCTACTTTGTTCCCTGTAATAGTTGAGGAACGCACCTCAGCTAATGCCTTCAAGTAGTTTAGCTTGTAAAGCCCAAATAATGGTCTGGAGGGAATATTCTGGAGTTCTAAAATTAGGGGCTACAGCCAAGAAAATGTATCTTCCCTTACCCTCTTCTGTCTTTCTCCAAACAGTAGAACCCTTTGCTGCCTCCCAGAAGGGTTAATTTTGGCCATCTAAATTTCTCCAAAGGACCAGAGACCTCATTCTCACCACCATTACTTTTAGAAACACCTCGTTGCTGAGCTTTAGGGTGTCAGAAGGTTTTGAACATGTTGATCACGTATTTAAAGGATTTATACATTCAGTCCCATCAAATGTTATGAGGGGCTTGAAAAATCTTTGTCCTGAGGACCAAGTAATATCCTAATATTTAATAAAGCAAAAGAGACCATCATGATCCAGAAAAGAGGTAGGAGAATGGAACTGCATATCATAATAAATACTAAAAGACAGAGAGAATTATATGGATCACTTGGAAGCAAACACTATGTTTTCATAATGGCCATGGTAAAATCATACATTCCGACCAATGAACATAGTCCCAACTTGCAGGAGAGGGAAAGGCGATCAGTCTTGGGGAATCAGAAAACAGGAAAATTATTTGGGATCATGATCAGCTCAGTATGATTTCCCAAAGAAGAGTTAGCAAAGTCTTTGCATATAAATGAGAATAATTTCAGATAACAGTAGGGAGATGAAGTCACCACTGCATCAGGTGCTAGTGTGACTGCTAGCAAAACAGCATGTGCGGTTCTGGTGTTCATAGTTTAGAAAGGAAATTGATAAGTTGGAGGGAATTATAGAAGCAGTGAAAGAATGATTCAAGGAAACCTTGCTCTGTGTTGAAGGGCTCAAGGTCTTCCAATGGTTGAGCTTAACAACGAGAAGGTTATTCCAAAAGGTGGCTTGATCAGTGTTTTTAAGTATTTGTGATAACAAACTTTAGACATATTATTTAAGTTCTTTTATACACAATATGTAATGACTGGAAGTTGAATCTAGACATATACAAATTAGAAATAATGTCTATATTTTAATGGGAAGGAAATTAACCAGTAAAACAACTTATCAAAGGTTGTGATTGAGTTCCTATAAAGAGAAATATTTTAATAAGAAGGACTTTTTTTCTAATTTATATCCTAATTTGAAAAATAATTAATTCAGAAAGGCTCAACAGACTGTATTATACAAGAAAAATGGTTAGATGGCTTTGTACTTTTTGAGTCGCTCTGGCTTCTTAACCAACCTCATTCTTCTTCCCCAGCAGGCTAAGTTCACATTGCTGATGGCAGGAGGCAATTGTATTATGACTGGCTTTCTTGCTTTGCTTGGCACAGTTCACTTTGCTTAACAGCTGCCTCACTAGATTGTTGCTTAAATAATAAACTACAGAAACGTATTGTTAGAAAGCTGGAAAAATTATAGTTGAGAATATATATTTTGTCCACTGCATTACATATAAAGATGTGAAGCAGAGATCAAAGTACTTTGTCTCCTAAAGCTTTTTGATAATATAAAGAATTCCAGTGGTTGAGTCAAAAGAAATTATCCAGAAATGGAGTATTGATTCAATAGAAACCAGGGTGATTTCACTAACAGCATACACCTCCTCTTAAGGGGTGGGTCAACAGTTCCAAGATGTCTGGAATAATATTAGCACCTTTAAAGCTTTTTGTTTATACTTGTTTAGGTTTGGGTCCTGTTTTTACTTGAGATGCAATCTTAAAAACAGAGCTCCGACTGCTTTAGAGAAACACTGGGGAGGCTGTTTGTTTTTTAAAGTGCAGAGGTTTAGTTAGTGTGATAGTCTGAAATAAAAGCTCCCTGCTTTGATGTTTTCTTACCCGTCACTCCAGCAGCCTGTCTTCCATGCCCAAACTGATGAGGCGTAACAGTCTAATCAACTATTTATCTGGAATTCACTAGTAAGAACGTGTAATTAAATGATTCTGAACTCAAGCTGAACTGTGCTACTTGTAACTCAGAGAAACCATGTCTTTATCCAGTTCTGGGTATTGTTTCACTAATGTAGAGGGACTACTGAGGAAAGATTCAGTGAACTCAACTCTAACAGAAATAAGTACAATATAAATAAATAAACCACATATGATTCACGGCATAAATGGTGAGGCAGTTGCAGAGGTGCTGCTCAGAATGCCTGCAGCAACCCTGCTGCCATAGGGAAGGTCACACAGGAGTGGGGGGACGTTGCCTGGGGGCAAACGGGCAAATCGGTGTATTTCTGAGAAACTCATGAAGGCAATTCTGAACTGGATTCAGAGATGATCAAGAAATTGGGGAAGGTGGCAGAGATGGGGGAGGAATTACATGTTCTTCATAAACAGAATGAGATTGGAGCATGCTAACAACATGCCACATCTTTCCTGCTGTACACCATGTGGTTGTGGATAAGAAGCAACATATTATTCACATGCCTAAAGAAAAAGGTTCTCCAGAAATGAGGTCAAATGCCTTGATCTCACTTTCACCAGAGAAAATCTGCAATAAATCAAGCAAATTCTTTGGTGATGGTGTGAATTTACAGAGCAGAAGTGGCCCACTTGTGATTATCCTACCAGTAAAAGTATGGCAAAAGTTATAGCAATAAAATGCAAGTGAGAACCTGCATATATCTTCATTTGTTCTTTAAAAAAAGATTTTAAAAGAAGGGGAAAAGCAAGTGATGTATGAATTGTACTGCAGGGGATTATGAAAATGATAGTTTTCCAGATACATTTAAGTAAGGAAAAATAGTAAGTCATAACTACATGGTAACAAAAAACTGTTAATATGGTGCATGTATTGTGTGGGTTCAAGGTACTCACCAAAATCAGCTCATCATTAGCTAATTCTCGAGTCCAGTATGTTTTGGGGCCATCTCCCTCAACAAGAGTTTGTTTGCAATAGATCTTGTTTTCATTCTCCCAAGTGGCCAAACTCTGCAGGCAAGAAAACCATTAGGAATAACATTAATTATATTCCCCAGCAGCATGAGGCAGAGAGACAACAATGAGCAGTAGTGAGAATAATTGCTGCAGTAAAGGAGCAACAACACATAGACAGATAAAGGCAAAGGGAAAAAGACATCAGTGGAAAGTGGTGAAATCAAAATCAAGGTGTGAGGGAGCGTTTTGGAAATAGGTATATACTAATTAACAAAGTAATTGTAAATGTGTCTTTTCAGTGTAAACGCGCGTTAGTTCCCAAATTAAAAAGCCATCCAGTTTTCATAAAAAGCTTAATGTTGAAAAGTATAATTTAGAAACGTGATAATGTAGTGTCTACACTCCCAAGCATCTTTTTACACATGTGGTTTGATCTGACATTTATCACTACAGAGTCCCTTCAGAGTAAAAGCATAGAGAATCGTATGTATCATGTTGTGGTCATAAATAATGCAGTATCTGTCACTTACAACCCTTCATGCTATATGGCACTGTGCCAACTTAACTGTATATTAAACACTTACTGTGCTAACAAATGAGAATAAATCACAACAAAATTAAAGAAAGTTTGTTAGGATTCTAATGTTTGCAATATTACTTTTTTAAGGTTGTGGGTCTGCAGATTGAAATACCCTCAGGCATTTTTCAAAGCATTTCAATAATGACTATGAAACAACTGAAAAATAAAAAAAACAAATGATAGAATTTTGTTTAGCTTTTACAAACAGGCAAGCCCTGACTCTGTTACTTTTCATTCTAGCACTGAACTATTATTCTACATTGCAATGGAACAGCTGTGCAGAAGGATGCCCTGTAATGAATGTGCAAGTAATCACTTTATAACTAGCACATGGGAGACATTCATTAGTCTGTGATCATATACATATACGTGTGTGTGCATATGTATGCATAAATTCAAGTTAATGCTTCCCAAACTTTCCAAGGGAAAAAAAACTTTACTTAGATTTAAAATTAGCTGTTTACTTCATAAATATTTTTTTCAAAATAATAGTTTTTTTTAAGCCAACGAGCCATGGCAGTTATAGAAGCTATGCCTTGCAGTACAACTATATATGACTTGCCGTTTGTCTGTATGAACAATGGATCAAGTTAGTTGGCAGAACAAAACCCTCCACCCCATAAAGTGTATCAAAATCTATCACTAGTCAGCAATTTTGCCAGATATTGCAAATTACACTCTGAAGTATTATTTTATTACCTGTCAGTTTCTGCTCTGTGGCCACATCTTGGTTATATATGCACAGCGGTACAACTTATTCCTGAGAGTGGACTATAAATAATTTCACAACACATGGAAAAAATTTACTACTTCACAAAACACATTTCTTTCAGATTTCTCCAACTTTCATAGCTTACAGCTGTAATTATTGGTTTTCCATCTGTAGCAATAAATCCTTCTCTAGAAAGTGGGTCACATTTACTGTATATGCATTATGCATGAAGACACTAAAATACTACTTTTGCCAAACAAGATAAATTAACAAAGCCACCAACATTTCCTGAAGAAACTGTTAAATATACGATAACTCATTCTAGAGATCAAGTGGATATTTTAAATGTTCACTGACTCCCAGAATCTGCCTCCCTTTTTCATAAATTTAAATTCACAGCAATTGCACCAGAGGTATTAAGTTCTAAATTTTTAGCCGTGCAAATGGCCTCACAAGCTGGCCCAAGAATTAGCAGAAATCGTATTTTGGAAAGTAGATTATTTCACCATCATAGGATAATTTAAAAACTGTATTCTCATTTGGGACTGCATTCTGATACTCTTTATTCATACTTCTTTCATAAGTGTTATATATATACTTCTCTTAGAAGTGTGGGAATTAGTGCCTGAGCAAAGGATAACTAACCCATGCCTTTGATAACTTTTTTGAAAGGACAGCTATGATCACAGCCCATTTCTCCAATACCCCAGATACCATTTATCTACACCAGCGAGAAGCTGGTGTCAGATGCTGATGACTTAAAGCCCCCTCCACGGCCACAGAAGAGGTTACAAAGGTAGAGGAGCAGGGGCTCACACACAGAATCAAGCCCAAAACACTCCAGTGAACGCCCTCTAATGCACTTCTGCACAAGGAGATGGTGTAATTATGGCTGGTATAACACTAGCTGAAAGTCTGTCTTACACTGTTAAAGACTTATCTGATCAGCAAACTGGAGACGTGCACTTGCAAGGGAATGAAAGAGGATTTCAGCCCCAAACTACCAATAGTCTGTGGTCCGGCTTGTGAACTCAGCTGATTCAGTTTAGGACAAAAGTTATGTCTGGTTTGTGCACTAAATCCTGACTCTTGAGGTCTCTCTTGCTCCACTGTTCCCTATGTTCCCATCAGGGACAGAGGTTGGGGAGAGCTTTCACTGCAGCTGAGGTCTCCAGGGGAGAGGGAAGCAAAAAGAGCTGGACAAAACCCTGCCAGCCAAGGAGTTGTCAAGCATGTACTCAAATTCTGCCTTTGGGACCTGCCATGCTTTGTTGCCTTCAGACTGCAGTTTTACCCTTCAAGAGGGAGAACATCGGACAAGGGCCGAGAGGAGTGGCAACCGCCAAGAACTCCCTAAGAGTGTTTCTGGAAAGAATAGGGCAGAGGGCAGCAATGCCACTGTCTGGGGACGCCGGCAGCAGATCCGTTTGTCCCATCTCAAAAGAACCTGGTTACACACAGACACACACCCCAGCTCTCCTCCTACCCTGCACTTTCGTCCATCCACCGTCTCTTCCTCAAAGCTCTCCCCGATTTTGAAGTTGATCTCAGTGGTGCGGACAGTGGTGGAAGTTTTGATGTAGAACTGGTCCCCGTCCTGGCGGATCTCCACGTGGGGTTTGGAGGCGGCAGCCACCGCCACCTTCCTGAGCATGGCATTGACACCTGGGCGAAGCGGGAGGAAGCAGAGCTTGAGGTCGCCAGCCGTGCCCGGGCTGAGCCCGCTC